CGGCTCTGCACCCCAGCCGCTGGGATGACTCCCCAGGGCAGAGGCAACCCCAAACCCAAGCATTTTGGGGACCGCCCCCACGCTACGCCAGCTTTGCCCCCCTCACCCCGCCCCGGGCCATCCCAGTCCAGCAGTGTGGCCAACTGGGGGGCACTGGGCCCCCCAGACCTTCCCCAGCACCTCACCTCCTGCACCAGGAAGGTCTCCTGCATGATCTTGGGGCTGAGGGCCCTCAGCCTCTCCATCGTCTCGTACTGGCCCTGGCAGGCCTTGAGCTTGTCCGAGGAGCCCAGGGTGTGTTTGAGCAGCACGAGGCCCACTCGGAAGATGATCTTCACCCCTGCAAGGGGAGAGGTGAGGCCGTGACTGCCTGGCCAGACAGGGTGACACTGCCACTACATCCCTCAGATGCCATGGGGCACCAGGTTCCGGTCCTGCTAGCAGTCAGGATAAGCAAAAGGGTGGATTTGGGATGCAGGTGCCGCCTAATCCCCAGGAAAATAGCCCAGTCTCCACCCCAGGCACGTGGCCACCCCAAACCTGCCCTACAACGGGTCCCATGTGCCAGGCACAGGCAAGCAGCCGCGGCACCGCTCCTGCTGCAGCCCCGAGTGCCGTCCATGTGCCGTGGGAGCTGCAGTCGGTCACCCTTGGAGGAGGAGGAGGAGGATGGTGGGGAGCTCCTACCTTCGCAGAAGAACATGTCCCAGACGCGCAGGACGGAGCTCCAGGGCAGCGTGCGGGAGAAGGCGCACATGAACCACTCCGTCATGTAGAGGATGGGATCGATCTTCTGCTTGCTCAGGTGCTTGTACGCCACGGGCGAGACTTTGTGCAGCAGCGAGAAGAGGATCTGCCCATCCAGCTGAATGGCCTCCTGCAGGGACAGCGTCCAGAGCCCCCGTGAGCGCCTTAACCCCGGCCCAGCCCTGGGATCAGCTCCCCAGGGCCCGGCCCCAGAGGAGGAGCAGCCCACCCTCCATCCCTGGCCACAGGAGCAGAGCTGTGCCCCACGGACACCGGCAGCAAAGCTACACAGAGCCCCCATCCCTGACTGCGGGATGCTCCTGGGGGCCACGGTAGAACGCGGAGACCGTGGGAGCACCCAGGATCTCCCCAAGCTCCCTTCTTTCTCCGGGGTGAGGAGCTGGGGGAGCTTTTGGCCTGGAGACATCACAGGTCCCTGCCACGGCCGAAGGCACCGCGGGCCCCTCACTCACCAGCTTCTCGCTGTAGTAGCCGGGGAGGTACTTCTCGCAGATCTGCACCAGGCACCAGAACGCTTGCTGCAAGCCAAGGGACAGCGGGTGAGCGCCCAGGTGTCCCCAGGGGACGTCCCTGCAGCCCCCACCCTGCTCCC